AGGCGAGAAATCCAGCGGCTCTGATTGGCAGGCGCCAAAGTCAAGTGCGGAGTTGGCCAATCAAAGCCGCCAGATTTATCGCCGACTTTTTCGCCAAGTGTCAGTCAGTGAGAGGCTTGGGAGAGGGAAATCAAAGGAAGCGTTGCTGAGCCGGAAGCTCAATATGTCACCTTTTCGCCAAGTGTCCAGATTAGGGCCTCAGTTAAAGACATTTTCGAGAAAATTTGCTACAAGATCCGTCAATGAGAGCCATTTTAGCGTGCACATTTTGTTTGCCACCCTGTATATAGTCCATAGTTCTGAAATAATTCTATACGATATTTTTAGTTTATGGGGAACATTTGTATGTCTTTATTTACCGAGAAAGTAACGCACTTCTTTAAGTACAAGCACACAAGCTTAATGTCATGCCCAGGTAAGGTGTATTTGATTCTTGTGTGAGAGCTGGAGTTAGAGGCAAACATGACAGTTCACCTCAGATTTATGACCAAGCTCTACCCTGTAATTTCAGCGCAGCGAGTATTAGTTGCAACATAAACCCCCACCAAATTCGGGATATTCATATCGTTGTTAATTATGCTTGTGGAAAGGACATGGTGTTCAAGCTTTTTTTCATATCAGGGCTTGTCAGACATGAAGGCAATGTGCTTGCAGTAAACTCTGGAATAGAATATGATGCGTTGCTTTATTGTTGATTAATTTTCAACAATCGACTTGCCTTAATATTTGTTACTCGTGTATTGGAAAGCAGATTGCTAATCCAGTTTGAAAAATACTTTTCGTTGGTTATTTTACTAAAATTTTACACAAATTTAGAAGACGAGGAGAATACGAATGCTCTTAAAGTGAGAGAACTGGACCAAATGTTTTAGCAGAAAATGACGTCCCATGTTGTGAGCGTTTAGAATGAAATGTTGTCTCGAAGGCGGGCCAGGTTGCTTGCAAAATCTCTTTAACTATAAGCTTGAAATTGGGCTAACCGGTACAGTCCTGATTGACACTCAATGTCTTACCGATGTGGAGCGTCCATATTATCATAATGGCCCTCGTGAACATGTGAAGGTTTTAATATTTTCTAGAATTCAGTTTTAAAAATAATGTACTCGGGCTTTACATCGCAAAGCAACTGAGCTTATGAGCGAGGTGCCAAAGACGTTAAAGGAAAGAGATCACATAGAGCTCATACCTTCTACTTTACTCTTTGCAAGCCGAAAGAGAGCCTCAACGACATTGAAGCGGTGGTGTTTAGCTCTGTGTGAGGCTCGAGGGGCATTATGTAATTCAGCATAACTCCTGAATTATGCACCGATAAAGTCAATATTTGTCACAAACGCGGTGCAGAACATATAATTTGCTCAAATAACCTTTTTAAATGGTACATCGAGCTTGGCTCTCTTCCGGAAAGCTAATATAAAAAAAAGAGAAAGCTTTAAATTCAGTTTGAGCAGTCTTTCATTTGAACAAACAGATTAAATGGCCGGTGGGTTCGAGGAACATGTGTTCATTATTATCCGATATCATGGCAACCATCAATTATTTGTTAAACTTTGTATTCTAGAACACTGATCAAAGTTCCTAATATTAGAAACTCTATACCAGTTTTCCTTTTAACCTTGCTCCCGTGTTCTGGGCTACTAAAACTGGAAGTTTGTTCTATTGCTCCCACATTACGCAATTAGCAGTTCTTACACGGATACGCCTTAAGGATTTCAGCACGTTCAAAACAATAACGCTAAAATAGAGCGGAAATACACGTGCAAATTTATCACTGATGCCAACCGGTAAGCAAAACAAAATCCGGTATTCGAAGAACCACAAGCGCATCGTAGAACAAATGTTTTCCGCTGAATATTCTCGTTACAAATATGTGAACGCACATGAAATCGTATTCCCTTTAGTATGCTAGCGCAAATTCAGCGTCATATAAAGCTGTTTTGTAAGACAAACAATTTTTTTTATAATTTTCACGCTTCCTTCATTGCCAATTGAATTTCAAGGTATCTGCGAAACGCAAACTCGTTTTCACCACTTTATTGATCTTAACTGGAAATTTACTTGGAGAAAAAATTCATACCTGGAGTTGGAAGGTGATGCGAACATATACAGCAGAATACGCACAAACATTAAGGCAGATTACGTAAAAGCGAGTGGCCTCATTCATGTTATGGTTTCTGCCATAGTTATTGAAACATAAATAACGTCTTCGGCAAACCTCATATCGAATACTTTGTGTATGAAAAGTGTAATCATCCTGCAGACGGTAGTTCTTTAAAAAATTAAGTTGAAACGCGCAGCACAATTAGGAAACTCGCAATTCTTGATAACTTGTTAAAATGACAATTTGTATATATACTTCAAGGAAATGCGCCGCCTAATATTAATTCGTAGGCTAGTGCAGTTCACGGGAAGTGGATTTACCTAATATACCTGAAATAAAAAGTGGAAAATGTTCGAGATATAAATTGTCACATTATTTTGTGAATATGCGGATGCCTCAAAATAATTGTTTTAGTCACCTTACCGACACCTACCTTTATTCGGATGCATACTCTTTTGTGGCCGTGCATACACACATCGAATCCATCTTCAGCAATAAGTACGCGTTAAAACATGTATTAGTAAAGCACAAAATCATGCATACGTTCAGTCAAAATTTATTCAGCTGTTAACGCTAATCCAACCTCTAACGTGCCATTATTATGGTATCGCCAGTGTAAGCATTATCGTCATACAGAAATGTAATACATCGCAAATATAAAGAAACAAGTGCGTATAAAAACGGCCCTTTCGAAATCCCTCAGCACTTTATACCTTTATAAAGAAGGACACAAAGTCAATTCTTCGTAATTTATGCAAAATAACCTAAAACAAGCCAATACATTGAGTAACGACGGAAAGTACTTGGGCTTTCACAGCTTTGCTATAGCCTGTTATCGGCCTTAAGTATTTCTGTCTCTAAGATTAAAAAAAAAACAAATGCATTCCTCAAAGGTTAGTGAACAAATCAGTGCTTGCAATACACACAATAAGTTAACATGGCACACTGTTGGCAATGTTGGCAATCAGTGTAATCACAGTCAGGAATTGCAAATACAAAGTTGCGTCAGGAACAGCAAGGAACAAGCAGTAGCCAATAAATGCTAAGAAAACTATACATATAGCTTCTCATAAGATATCAGCATTAAGGGTAGATTGCTCCACAAAAAGCCACTGTGTGAGTAAACAGAGTAGTTGTAAATATTAGTGGATACATATACATATATTTGTATTATAAAGTCTGCACAGCAGTCTCGCTATTTGCAACTATGTACAACACACTGTGCATATGTCACAATAAGCAACGTGCACAGCGAAAAAGTAGGAACGATTATAGGAAAATGCAGGGTCAAGAAAGTGAACCAGTGTTTCGCTTCAGATAGCACAAATGGATTAGCCCTAATGGAAGGCCATAATTTCCTAACTAATTACCCATTTGGCAGAAATTGGCAATGCCCTAGGTTTGTCACAAGAGGTACCTTTTGTTGAATAGTAATTGTCTATGTTTTTACTGCTCCAATCCACAAAATATGTTTTGTTTTTTTTGGAAAGTAGTAATAATCACACACAACTTATTCCTGACACTAAGGCACTGTGACCAGCACAGTACAATACGTGATTAATTGCACCGGAACCTATCTTACAACTATAAAACTGAACTGGAAGTACAATGAATGGCATAAATACAATAACTGGGACTTCTTGTACTCTGCATACGGTCGTCAAAGTACTGTGGCTGAGGCAACACACCTCTTCATACAGGTATTTTGCTGATTATCTAACAATGTCCCTTTCAACCCATTTTAACAAAATTGCAACAGAACCTTCTAACATTTTTTTAGATATTAATCAAAACGTGATGAACCCTAGCAAGGACATAAGCCTAGAACAAAGATGTATTACCTCTTTTGTACTTATGAAAGACACTGCGTGAAAGGTTCTACGATAGCTTGAGTGCAGACTTATAAATTCATGAAATGCATAGAGGCTGTGAATATAAGTACCAAGGCTTTAAAATAAAGTAGCGAAACTTCTTTAAAGAAAATACCTATGAAAAGTTATTTACTGCGTAATTTTGCTATATGTTCTTTAACAAAAATGGGCAGTTATACATTAAATAATTCCCAAATGAGGTTCTCAGAACTTCGCGTTATTAAAAAAAAAGGGTTTGCTGCTATATGTGGTATCTCAAGAATAGCGAAATATTGTCTTTAAATTATTTTCCGGCACAAAAAAAAAAAGAATCATGCATCATGCCAGGGGGCGAGAGCAGCGAAACCTTAGATGGCATATTCAATTCGACCTCTGGATATCAGGACTACTTATCAAAAAATGAAAGTATTTAGCACAAATCTCGTTGAGGAACCGAAGGCTGTCCATATATTTCATTCCTGATTCCGACTTGGTGTCATGAGCGTATGATGAAAAATATCCCTAATACTTCATTGTCTTCTAAAAATGTTAAACCTCAATTACATAAAAATGTTTTGTTTAATGTAACAATATTTTTTAAATGTCGAAATACTTAACGTCATGTGTGTTTGTGAGTTTAAATAATTCTTGCCATATAATTGCTTGAAAGCTTTAAACGAAGCCTCCGACGCATGTATTAAAAATTTTAACGCCAAAATAGAACAGCCTTCGATCAAACTTACTAATACTTCACCCGAAATTTTCTTACAAAATCCTATAATCGTAAGGCGCTAAGAGGAATTCGGCCTGCCGATGCTGGCAGTTGATGCACCCCGTCACTATAGCAACGTATTTCACAATTATAGCACCAGGAAAAGGATCCAGTTTTTCACATCGTATTAAACAAAACAAACAAGAAACAAAAAAGCCCCAAGAGTTTTACACTAAGTCGACGTCAATTTCAGGCCTTATATACTTCAGGGAGCAAAATATGTGTTCCAAACATATCATATACCAAGTGTAGCACGCCTAAAGAGAACAAGAAATCGCAGTCGTACTTTAGTGCGTATTTATTAGCTACTACATAACAATGTCAACATTATGATCAAATAACTGCAGTATCAAAAAAGACACTTCAGCTAAACACAAACAAGGCTTCACTGCGTACGTGAATTGGAAGCTTTAACAGGCAACAATTCTGTCGGCGCCCTTTTTATGATCCACTCCATTCCTCGGAGTTAAACGTTCGTTTACGTAAGGCTTACTTTCTCAGGCACATAATTGTTTTGTTTTGTCGTTTCTCTTCCTTTTTTTTTTTCTTCGTCTGCGCGAGTACTTTCTTGGCTTAAGTATCTCCGTCCCTTTTTTCGTTCGGTTGCTAGCGTCTCATGAGAAAGCGCGAAGGGGGCAATTTGCGTAAGTGGTCGGTCGCCGCAGTTACATGAGCTTCTGCCTAGCACACTCGGGGCAGAGAATCTCCGGACCGTCGGTGATGAAGCCCTTGCCCACCAGCGAGTTGTTGCACATGGCGCAGATGAAGCAGTCGTTGTGCCAGTTTCGGTCTTCGAAAGAGATGAAGCGGGTTCCGCCAATTCCTGCAACATAGAATTCGGTTGCAATCAAGGTCCTGCTTGTTAAAACTTATTACAAAGAGCGCACCGCAGCCCAGCTAACACCACTCTGAAACATTTAGGTTACTTTATATTTGTGTAATTTGGTGTGAGAATCCCACTGGAGAGATGAAAAGAACGTTTTCAAATATTTCTATGTGTTCCGAAAAGATACAGCTCTGAAACAATCTCCTGTTATTAGCCATTCCAGGAAACTTTGTAGGCAAGTGCCATATATATATTTTTCATAATGGCATAAAAATACACAAATAAGCAATTATCTCACAATCAGGCTTTCTTCTCAATATTTAGTGGACCGCAAATCCACGAAATTCTCGAAGTGACCAAAACCAAGCAACACCTTTATCCGACATGTGTTCAAGAAAATAGCGGGCAACCATAGTTAATGACGCAAAAGGTTTTAGCGTACCTTAAACTTAAAGATGACGCTTTCTAAGTGAATTCATCTGTTCCTTCCCATTACTGAAACACAAAATCGTTTGTTGCAATGTATTCACAAGTGTACTGTTCTGCGTTTGCAATTTCGACCACGTTTCATCTGTGTCGTGCCCTTCATCCCACAAACTACAAAAGTAACAGCAATAAAATATTATTAAATACTGTTCATTTATTAATACTGTTACCTATTCTTCGAAATGACCACGATAGAGCTCGTAAAGTAGAAAACTCAATATTACAAATATTTTCCTTTAGCTGGCAGCGGTAAACAGAATTATATTTATTCTACTTGTGTGAGTATCCCCTCGTGACACACCGGGTCTCTCCTGTAACGTCCCGGGGTTCCGTGACTGCTGTCGGGTGCATATTTAATATTTGGTTGTGTTATTTTTGAGGGCCTTTATTTCACCAACCTTCGCGAAATGTAAATAAAAATATTATCTGCGTAGAAGAAATATTTCATTCCATTGGTGTTTTTTTTTATGTTAAGGAAAGTCACCCGGCCATGAGAACAGCAAGGAGCCAAGGGAGAAAATTAACCAGAAACACCGTCTATAAAAAAACAGCTATCCCCGTTACACACTTAATAAATGCGGAGTGTTTATTTAAACTAGGGCTATTCCGAATGAAAATAAAAATAAAATAATATTGTTTTATGGTTACCAGAAGTCAAACGAACGTTGTGAACCATGAGAAAACAATATTTTTTCTTCACTGTTCGTAGTTTAATTAAGAAGTTTTAATAAGCAAATATTTATGTGTTACGAGGCCAGCTTGGTCACGGTCACGAGACACTCTGATGGGGCCTGTGGGATGTTCCGTTGCTTATTTTTACGTTTCAAGTCCAGCCCCGATACCTCTGGTATTCTGTTGATTAAAACCTGGTTAGAGCATGTCCAGCCTTGGAAGTTTAAACGTTTCCTAACAAGGCACATACCTGCCGACATCATCGCTTTTAAGTAAGAGCAGATACACGCGTTAACGCAGGGGAATGAAGTAAAAGAAGGCCAAAACTGCAGCCTCACCGGTGATGGGCTTGGAACAGGCGGTGCACCTCTTGGCGAAGAGCTCGCCGAAACACTCGGCGCAGTATGGCTTCTCGTCGCGAGAAGTGAATCGCTGGCCCGCTAAGGACGAGCTGCAGTTGGTGCAGGTGAAGCACTCCCGGTGCCAGGGCTCGTTGCGGTACGTCACGCCGCCGCTGCTGATGATCTGCGATACGCGACAATGCTGTCATCTTCAGCTCGATGAGAGATTCGGTTCATTGGGGCCTCGAGGCTCTCGAATTACAAGACGTGTGCAGGCGCGAAAATGTAGACGATGTCTGCGTGCGGCTACTGTAGTCGTGTGTCAGCCGAATAAACGGATCGTGTTCAGGTTTCTAACTCTGATATTCGTTTTTCGGCGATCTCATTGGGCAACGCTGCAACATCATTCGCTGCGGAGTCATAATGAGATGTAGGAGGCTTCCCAGGCCCTACGTTTCTTATGCTTTCAGTGATTACACACAAAATTTTAATATAGTAATAGAAAATTGTTTTATCTTTAATGGGGAATATGTTCCTCTCGTACACCTTGCCGTCACCGAACGTGAACACAGAAAGGAAAATCACAACAAGCTTGAATATAGTTTTTTTTGTACATCAATAACCACATTTTCCCTTAAAAAATGTCGATTTCGAATAATTGTTTTTGAGGTTGTTTATTGGTGTTTGGTTTGGAAAGCGTATACGACTTGCCGGTGTAGTGTGAACATTAAAGATACTATGTGAAAGCCAAAACGATATAAACATGATGGGTAATTTTCATTGTTCTCGTACCGCGGATTTTGATATTCGTGATATACACAATCAAGCAAAAAGGTTGCAGGGATGCAACTACTTTACAATTAAAAAAGGTGAGCAAAAATACTGGGATGGCTATAAGTGTTGCCAATACCACAAAAGGTGGCGCAATTGGCGGTATAGTTTTCTGTGCATTAACTGACAAAGCATTTTTGCAGCCTGCTATGGTGAGTGCACTAGGGTGAACATTATCGCAGGATAGTAAGTTCATGGTTGCGATATGCTTGTTTGTAAAGCAGTAGATTACTGGCGGGCTGTTGGTCAATCGATCTAAATAAAGCGCAAACAAACGTGACAAATTTGGAGAAACACATAGCGCATCTCCTGTGTTTGTGTGTATCTCCGATTTTGTCCCATTTGTTTGCGTTTTTTTTATATGTGTCTCTTCCTACCTATATCCGGATCACGTTCTTTAACAACTAAATTAATCATGGATATAAAAAGATACATGGCCGGTGGCTAAATACTCCACATGTGTATCTTACACGCGGTTAATAATTATTACTTGATCACCGTGTTAGAAATAGTCACAAAATACAACAATGGATTTGAAGCAGTTTTATGCTTTTTACTAAAGTTTTGAGTATCACAACATTTAAAGATTGAACTCGACGCCCGCAGTTGCACGTGAACGGGGAAACATAATATAAGCAAGTGCGCCTGGGTGAAGAATGCAGAATTCCACCAATCAATGACAGCGTGATGTAACGACAACCTCATTCTAGCACTGTAGTGAAATACGTTTTATGACGAAGAGGCTATAAATCTTAGGTGTTGCCAGCTGTTTAAAACGAAGATCACTGTTAAGATGGGCCTCCTATTAGCACAGCGTAGAGCCCGACCTACAGGCACTGCAAAATCATACATTGTGCATGCTACGGACGGTAACCTTCGAACCCCGCTGTTTATGAAAAACTCTCCGATTTGATAGGAAGCTATTTACCTGGTTGCACTTAATGCACCTGGTGGAGAACTTCTCCTCGTAGCAGGTGGTGCAGTAGATGTCGTTGTCTCGAGGAATAAAGCTTCGAGTTCCGATGGGGTTCTTGCAAGTACAGCAGCAGAAGCATTTATCGTGCCACTGGTGGCCCTTGTACTCCATCTTCTTGGTACCTACGAAGTGTCCCGGACGTTTAGACATACTTATTGGGGACCATACAAACAACTTGAATCAAATTAGATCCAATCGGTTAAAAAAAACGCCCGACCCACAACGTCTGTCATCCTCATTAAATAAAAAAAAACTTTAAAGAAAGCAATTCATATTTTTCTTTTACATCAATGGAAGGGAACTTTGTACTAGGCAAGGTTTTCATTAATTACACGGTCACGCAGGTAATACAAACTTAAACGTTAAATAATCTCGTTCGGTGGTTGGTGCGGTGGCAAACCCAGCGGGCCAACGGCACCACCAGTATCACAAAAGTATCAGGCCACACCGTCGTCCGTCGCACGCCAGCTAGAAACATATTTTGGCAGTGTTTTCACTAAAGGGGCGGTTACTAAACGGTCGCAGTTCGGCGCAGCTTGTAGTATTATGACTCCGTAGTGCAGAGACCCATGAATCGCCCCCTAACGTAAATATACAATGAAAACAAGCAACAGAAGTCCGACGCCAGAGGAACGCACCACAGTTTGCTGCAAACGCCGTTAAGCAAACATATCGCACCACCGACAGATTGGGTCGCGATTACAGGCCACCTGCCCCAGCAACGGTCGCGGGTGACGCTTTCGTCGCACTTCTTGGGGTTATACTCCGTTTCCCATTACGCCAGACTGCTGTCCACGTTACTATTCGATGAAGCAAATCAAGCAGCGTCAAAAGTGCGACGTCACGGCGTTCACCGTCTTTTTCGATTTTTCTACAGGGTGTCTCAAATAGTGCCCAGGCTCTGTAAATGGACCTCAAAAATGGGTGGCCTAACCTATCGCGCTAAGACTTCGTGCCGCTTTGCCCACAGGTGGTGCATTGTTTTAACAAAATTGGCAAAGAGCAAACTTACCTAAGGAAAAAGTAAAAAAAAAAAACTCTTAACTCCTATGGAAAAGCAGCTAAGCCACCGGTCTTCAAACAATAAGGCCACCTATTGTTTGAAGACTGGTGGCCTCGATGCGTTTCCATAGGAGTTAAGATTTGTTTTTCTTTTTTTAGTTCTTCCTCATGTAAGTTCGCTCTTCGCGAATTTTGTAAAAAAATGCATTACCTGTGGGCAACGCTGCATAAAATCGTGGGGCGATAGGTTAAGAAACTGGTTTTTGCTGTCGATTTAAAGAGACGGGCCGCTATTTGTTGCGCCCTGTGTGTCACCGACTTAACCAATCACGCACAGTGAAGGCGCCGCGATCGCACACTTTGTTTTTTGTGCGTGATTTGTCTAGCCGGTGATCTATACCCACAAAGACAGTTAGCTCAGTGATCACGATGCACTTTTGGCGCTGCTTCATTGGCCCCGTCGGGTCGCGACGTCGGCTGCGAACTTAATGCAAAAAGGGAGTAGCATCGGCGTCGAGGGTCTTTGAAAACGTAAAGGACAACATTGTTTTTGTAACCTAAGAAGTGATACGGGACTTCTTTGAACGAAGGGATACGTATTCTCGGATTAGTACACTTGGCAGTCCAGAAGAAAATGTAAAAAGATAAATTTTGAAATTTTAGGTCACCAACTTCATAATTATTATGTCCCACTTTTTTCTTTCCGTCTGCTGTAGTCCACAGATTATGCCTAAACAATCATTTAGATACTCCGAGTGGATTAATATATAGGCCGCATTTTAGTGATAGGTTTTGTGTCCTATACGTGGCAGGGCGAAGGTAGACACGAGGGAAACAGAAACCAGCTATACCCTATCAAGCTAACGTTTGTCAGGTCGAGCCGAAAAAAAAAAAGATCAGATTAAGAGCTGTTATTGGACTGATCGTTGCGCAATCGGGCTATGAATTTTCACAAATTATGTTTTTCGTACCAGAAGTGCCAATCTACAGTGGAATATTATTTAGAACTAGCTCCACAATTCTGTAACTATTTTTCTTGTGGCGTGGCTCATTTCATCGCAGACGTTCGTTCATTACTGGAATCGTTTACTGCAGGCAGTACTTAATTATCATTGTCAAGAAACATGTACTATTAAACTAGACTATTCTATTTTTTGTCGACAAAACCGCACAAGTTTTGCACATTGCGGGAAACTACACTTCCAATAAATTTCTGAGCCTCAAGCTCGTGACTTTATACCCATTCAAGGACGAACTTTGCCTCTGCGGTTATCGAAGTAAAATTACGTGTATTAGAATATTCGTTCCCATGAAGCAATTCGCCGTATCCCTACTTCACTGAAAAACACGTACAATTTAACCAGTAAATTCTAGTTGTTTCTAAGCTTTAAGCGCAGAGAAAAAATAGGAAACCTTGGAAGACCCACTCACATAGATCGTCGCTCCAAAACTTCATCCCTGGTTATCCCAGCTTAAGGGGCGAACAACGGGAAATGAGATATCGTTCTCGAATCGCACGCTGAAGCGGGAAATAGCCGTTTAGGCAAAAGGTGGTGCACTTAGTAACGAACGCCGCTAACTCGACCAGATAGGCGCGCAGGAAAGAGAAGCAGCAGCGACGAGCAACGTTGCAGCCCAGCCGAAGAGCAGCGACAGAGGAGACGCAAACGACAGCTATGACACTTCGTCCCCTGGCCGTGCAGTGCAGTCAGCCACGCCCGTCGTACTCCAGATCACCACCCGCCCTTCCCCGGCCCTCCTCTCTCTGTCTGGTAGCCATGACGACCAAATGACGCTGGCCGTCGGAGGTCGTGTCCCTCTTTCGGAAACACAAAAGGGGCAAGGGAGGTGGCGGCAGAAGGCCCGTCGCTCTGCTGCAGCAACAAAAGAGGGGCCCCGTTGCGGTCCCAAGATTTTTGATGACCGTACGACGACGCTCCGGCGGCCGCAGGGTGTCGCAAGAGACCGTCCCATTACCGGGAAAGGGTCAAAGTCACGCCAGAAGTGGCGGGGTTTCTAGGCGCGTATGGCAGATAAATCTAGCAGCGCCTCTGAAATTAAGTGAACAAACGAGGCACGGAGAAGCGTGAGGTTTCACGCCGCGTCGGACGACGGCCATGTCCGGCGGTCGAGCCGCTATGTTTAGGAGAGGAACAGCGACCGCTCGCAAGTTCGCGCGTCGGGGAGTTACACGGAGTCAAACTCCCCGACGCGCGAACTTTGGACGCAACTTTGGATGCACGAACTTTGGACGCAAAGAAAGGACGCACAAAAAAAACGAATCGATAGCCACTTTAGAAGAGAGAAATAATGCGCATCCGCTAAAGAGATCTCAGCCCCTCACGATTGAAAAAAAAAAAAAGAAATACATAACTTCGATTAAAAACGCGCAGCGATATAAATACAGTTCAACATTGCTAAACCATTTCAGGGAACACGTTTACAATACCTTATATTTACTCTATCAATTCGTAAAACGGTTCACCCGCTATTGCAGGAGTATAAAACATTTGCTTCAATTTGTTCATGTGTTTACTATATCGGTGTTTACTATGAAGCTGTGTAGAAAAATAAACCTACTGGTGATCATTTTATATATCTATATTGTTTAGCCAAGTTGAAAGGCTACTAATAAAAACGCCCGAGCTTTATTTGGAAGTTCTTGTTAGAAACTGTAACTAGAAATAAACGAGAACCTTGATGGAGAGGGTGCGCCGCTGACCAAGACAGAGCCAAGCGACCGAACATCCCTATGTGATGTTTGCATCGCATGCTAAATAAAAACGTTTTTTGAGCTACCTGTATTTGTAGGGCCCTTGGGCACATTTAACTAACGTTTACCAAAATTCAGTAACAATTACTAATGGGCGAAAACGTGTGTGCCGAGGGAACTTCAGGTTTGAGTAGTGCTTCCCAATTACCCACAGACTGCTTTATCTTTTGTGCGTGTTTTGAAAATTTACAAAATATCTCAGACCTTTACAAATATCTAGCGAAGCATCAATTCAGTTTTATATAACCTATAATCCGCCTTTATTACTGGTCGGCGGTTTGATTTTTTAAATATTTTGTGAACACTCGCTCCGACAAGTTCATAGCCCTTAATGACTACGGATCAATAAATTCGTTGTGTTCCCCTGGCGACAGGCCAAAAGCGAAAATTCATGAAAGAGATAGTCAACGAAAATCATGCCAAACTTGTTGTCATATAGTTCAAGCGTAGTTTCCCAGAAATATTTCCTGTTCGAACTTAATAAATACAAAATAGCTCAACGTCTGGATACGCAAAATAATTTTAAAATATTGTTTGTCAAAAAGTTGTAATAATAATAAGCGAAAAACTTTTTTTAATAGTGATACACCCACGAATTTTTTCTAATAGTTTTTTCTTTACAATTCTTTAAATTGGCGAGAATCTACATTTGTTTAGTTAATTTCACATTAAGAAAATTAGTAAAGGTTGAGTGCAGATACAGATCAGACCAGATCTATGCTGCAATTCACGCAATTTCACGGCGTTGGTCGTTTCCCTGTGTATATCTTACATGTATCTAAAATTATACACTTTTCTTCACACAGCCCTGAGACACGAAAACAAGTTCTTTGTGTATTTCATGCTCAAACATTAACATACGTTGAGGATATATCTCACTTAACGCCAAGTACCAAAACAATTAAGAAAGTGAGAAAAATTACGCACCAAAACTGTGATTAATTGTCTTTCTTACGTGTCAAAATATTCTGAAAATGTATTTCGCGTCTCAGTAGTACGAAACAAAGTTGTTTTTTGTTGTTCCTTTGGTTTCTGGAATTACTAGTGTTAACCAATTATCACAACGTTCTGAAAACACGTATTCAAATATTGTACAAATATAAACTTGAGGAATGTAAATAACATTTTAACAAATGTAAAGTTTAACAACTAAGCAACAACACAGTCATGGCAAAAAAGTGTGCTTCAAGTTCCATGATGCCATGTTTATCTCACAGAAATCGTTTGTGCTCTTGCAATTGCTACCCCCGGGCGTCTCAGCTTTTATTTTACGATGCCAGAAATGTAAAGAAAAGCACCAAACTTTTTTTTTACAACCTCAGCCGTTTTTGGTTTGTTTTGGCTGATTTTGGTGAGCATTTGGCGAAGAAACAGAAAGACTAGGAAGAGCCAACACTAATTACGGTTAACAACCGCCATCTGCATTATTTTAGTGAGGATATTACGTTCCTTTAAATTGTCGCTACTCGCCCAATAAAGTTAACGTTTATTTATAAATCAAACCAAAATATTTTTTCCACTCCTGCAGACATAGAACTATGAGTAAATATCGCTTATTTATAGCCTCAATATGTTTCCCGGCTCCTCAACAAACTACACAATACTCCCAGCGAATTCCTTGCATTCCATAGCAATAAAATCTTAATGAAGCGTAAAAGTCAGAGTAGAAATATAAATCAATACTTTTGTTTACATTTTAAAATTCGCTTACGATAGGCGCCATTTAAGAATCTGATGTTATTGGCCTTGCTCAGTCCCGCGAGGTTAGACTACTATTGCTAGCGACTATACACCGGCACTCCATAAAGCTTCATACATACATACTGGCAAAAACATCAACTTAAGGAAGCGCATAAGTTCCCAACAGACGACATATTGCTTGGTGCTCACGTAGGCAGTTACAGGAGACATGCTTATATAGAAGATTTCTTCCTGACACCTACCTGCCCTGAAAATTTCTCCGCAGCCATCGCAACGGGAGGCGAAGGCAGCGTCGTAGCAGGAAGCACAGTAGACCTTCTCCGCCTTGGAACCGAACGGTTTATCCACCAGGGACACACGGCACTTGCTGCAGAGGAAACAGGCCTCGTGCCAATGCTTCTCCTTGTACGACAGATCCTAAGAGAAAGGGAATGCCGATGGTTCAAATACTGACATCTAGATCGGCGTCTGTTTCTCAAAGTAGATGTCTGAGCATAGCCTCTTATACAGTGACAAAGCCCGGCAGATCGCCATGAGACGTAGCCGCCGAAATGGAAACGGTGGAGCGGCAGACAACGCATGAGAGGAGACCCAAAAGACTTGCGCCACGCTGCGGCGTGACGCCGAAACACACTTCTCCCAAGTGCACAAGTGTGTTTCGTGCCCTCGCCGCTGCAAAAGCTGTGCGCTGCCGTCCAGGTTTCCTGAAAAAGGGCTTTTTGATGCTATGTGCTGCCAGATCCTCGTGCTTCAAATCTGTGACCGGGCTCTCTATGGCTCCGTCGTCGAACTCCCAGGCTTTGTGAGTATAGAGGAGGCTATGGTCTGAGTGACAGAGCTTTGGTCACCGAGAGTGTACGATGCGCAGGGTGTGGCGATTCCCGCACATCTCAGTATCCTTCCACGGCCAATGGGGACAGCGGCGTCAGCCGATGAGAACGCAGAGAACCGAATCACGAGGTAAAAAGCACGTAGATAGTAAGCCGCACCCTGCGCTTTGTAAGCTGTCAGTAACTAGAGTCGGCTAATTTAACGAAGGTTTAAATAATAGCCATCTAATGACTCATCCTTTCTATGGTCATGGACAACTCAAGAAACGCAGAGCATGGCCTTATTATGTTCACGCGTGTATGCAGAAAAGCAAGTCGTCTGCTTCTTGCGCTGGAGCTGCTGTGACGTCAGTACGACGATGAGTTCTGATTGGCTTCGATTGAAAGGATAGTGGGTAAGCCTTAATGCCTGACGCCTTGAGGTCTACGCACTATTTTTTTTTTAAATCAGTAAAAAAGAGCCTTCTTGACGTTCTGGCATGATAGCAACTTCTGTGCAAGAAGCAGACAAATTTCCGCTCAGCATAGCGCTGTGATTCAATCACGATTATTTCAACCCGAGACTGGACCAGGAGAAAAAGTGTTACCGTTGAAGAGAAAGAAACAGGAAGAGACAGCGTTTCTATTATAGTAACGCTGTCTGTCTATTTCCTCCATCTGCCCCAGTCTCGGGTCAAATAATCATGGTAAACTTCGACCAGATCGCCTCCGCACTGACCGTTTCTCAATCGTCGGTGTTTTCTGTCGGCTAAAGGACACTGACAGTGGAGCGATATCAATACTCTCGGAACTCGCCAAAGCGTAATTGTTTTTGTTTTTTTTCTAAAGCTGACAGTGACAGCAGTTAGGCGCATTATGTCGGCTGCTGCTACATTTGATAGTACGAACAATTGGTTCTGTATGATGCTATATCCTGCGTCGAGTGGTCTGATTGGCCTCCTAGTGCCTGTATTGTTTTTGTAGACGCCAGAGGAAAGTTATCGGGTGCTCAAGTGGTAAATTGGAAACACAATTTATGTCGCGTTTCATAATCTAAAAGTACTGGGTTCCTTATGTAATATATTTGTATATGTTCATGGAGCTGTAATCTTCGCAACGATCTACTTTTTCTGGTAAATAGCGATATTTAAAGCAAGAAGGCATGATATCAAAACACTTAATTTTTTTATTGCTGTTGGAACTTAAAGTTCAATAGGCACTTATAATGTAAGTTTATTATATACATTACTTCGCAACTTGCAATTGTATTTGAATTTTTTGGTTCAGAGCATTATTCATGTCGAAAGATAGAAATAATATCAAATATATGCGGTTGCGGGCACAACGTAAAATTACTCATTTGATAGACAGGTAAAGTGAGGTGACTTTTAATCATCATTGCCGATTTGGGAACTCTATAGTTAATTAATAATCCCAGATCGGAAGAGCGGACATCAGCAATGTTACGCGCCATAAAATATTCAACAAACCTTAAACAAATGAAAACACAACCTTTCCACTAAATGCTATCGTTTTGAATAAATAGTGAGAATGACACTGTTCACCACGTAAGTAATATATAAGGTTTTATTACATCCTTATTATATCTTTGTTTTGTCATCAATACGAATGTACCTAAACACAAAAAAAAAAATAAAGACAAACAATTTTCACCGTGATTTTTTCGCCGAAGCGTGCCGCAAAACTAAAAAAAGAGAGCTTTGAATTTATCCACATTAAAAATGATGCTGAAAGTCCGACGTACCCAAACATACATCACGTGTGGAGGGGCACATTCTCGTACGTTCCAGCTAGGTTAAACTAATATAAGCACCCACGTGTTTAGTCTACGTGCTTCCAGCTAGGATAGCCTAGATTTCAGCTGTAAAAACAGCCGCATTTATCAGGCCTGGAATAACACTTCATCCTCTCATAAAAGGAGGCCCCGAAAATTCGTTGCGCCTTCATGTTTCGTCACGCACTCTTCCGCGGTCGCTCAAGGCATAACAAAAGTAAAGCATCTGCATGCCTTAAAAAAAATGATCCGCAGCGAAATCGCTAATGTGGTAATCTTTGAAGCGTTCAGGACATCAATATTTGTTAAGCCCGAACGTCGTATCATCCGCTAAATCGTATCAATCTTCTTCCAGAAAATGACATCCTAAATTACAAGAAAGGACACGTGTATCACATGTTCGTTTTCGTATTTTAGTCAGAGAAAGGATTCTTAATTATTACCTAATTCTAAAAATATGTTGAGCGTCTAGCTTCCCGCACTGCACAGGGAAGAGCCAATCACAGCAGTCTATGGAGGAAGCTCAGAGAATGACGAGGCTGATATTATGTTTAGACATAAAAAAGGCTGCGTTGTGCCGCTGAAGATGACGCTTAACGATGTTCACTGTAGGATCTTACGACTCATTTGTTACACCTAAGTGCCTTATTAACCTCGTCATTGGCTGTGCTTTTTCCGTAGAAGGCAGCAATTGGTTCTTCCCAGCGATTCGCGGGAGAGTACACGCTCCAGATTTCTTAGAGTGTTAAAAAGCCGCTTCGATTGTTTCGTTTTCGTTGTCGTTATTGAGATGGCAAGATACAGTAGAAGCATTGCTTGAGTGGGCCTTCAGCGTTGGCAACAAAAATGAAATATGTGATAGAAACGCGAACATGAGAATACAAGCTAGTTAGTGGCCTAGCGCGTGGCAATAGTTGTTGGCAGACATCATATATTTTGGTAGTCAGATGCCATCGTGTCGTCCGTTCCCTCAGTCACTGTCAAGCAATCTCTCATTCTGCGACATTTAGAAATGTCCCCAAAAATAGTCTCCTCATATTGATCCACGGACAGATTTTCGGACGATGGCAGGGCAATAGAAACAGGAGGGCGGATTCACGATTGCTCCAGGACGATCTAACTTTCTTTCTCTGATTGCGTGCATGTTTCACGGTGATTATGAGACGAATATCAAAGCGAAGTGCATGACGATGTAGGAAAAGCCGAGTGAAATTCAAGCCTGGCAACACTCGTCCTGTAAACGGCTGTGCTGTTACTGGGGTGTTCCGACGTGTGTCTGAAGACAAACGTTGCGACATTAATCGTACTATCAAGTGTCACGTGTGCAAAGCAGGGTGGACACAGTAACAAGTCACGCGTAGTAAAAGTGTAGACGCACTAGGAAAAGTCACCTTCTTGCTCCAAGAAAAAAAAAAACGCCATTACGTTTACAGCTTTTTAACAGCAAAGAAATCATCAAGCTACAAGAAGAAACAAAAAATAGAGCGATCAGACTCTAATTTCTCTCAAACAAGCTTTTAGAGATCAGTGTGCTGTTTTCGCGTAGGCGAGTTTTCAGTCGCCAAGTAAAACACCCACCTTGGAGTCGATTCCGATGGCTTTGGAGCACTCTTCGCAGGAGTTTGCGAAGACCTGCTCGTAGCAGCGGACGCAGTACGGGTGCTCGTCGCGCAGCACGTAACGCTGGCCCGTCAGCGACTCGTCGCACTGCCAGCAGCAGAAGTGGCCCGAGTGCCAGTCCTTGTTCATGGCTTTCGTGTATTCACCGGAAAAGATTAACTGCAACGAAACAAGGAAAGGAGGAACAAACCATCAATCTTAAGGCCCCCAGACGCTGCAAGGATACGATTATTAAATATATGCTGTTCTGAGAGCCTTTTGTGTTTGTTTTTTTGTTTGTGTTTTTGCCTTGAATTTGTCATCGGGCTATGGAAAGGTTAGGCGTGTGTTATGGTACTGATCATTACTGCTGCAAAATAATACATGTCGTATCGTGTCAGCCTAACATGACCATGTCCGATTTTACAACACTGAAATGTATTTGCTATTGTAAAGTGAACTAATATATTGCAAGGTCCCGGACTGAGTTGAGGAGGAATTATGATAATAAATCAAAATATTTCAACCAGCTCCGGAGTAATTCAATGACAATTAATCGAGCAAACCATTACATTAAGTCCATAAGTGTCTTCAAAATAGAAAATATATGAATGAATCACGCTCAGAAAGAATCATAAGCGCATGACATTATGTTGATTTTTTTATTTATTACTTGTGGCTAAGTGATCAGTCCTGAGAACTTTGAACAGTTGCACACAGATTTTATTAAATTCGGAAAGTGTATTTATTTTTCAATAAAATTCGCCTAACGGCGAAATTAAAAGTAACATATATTAATATACGCCTTACGTGTGTTTCTGCTTTTGCAGCACAATAAGTTTAGGCTTTCACTTGGTGATTCTCAACGAGACAAAAAGCGTGGCTCAGGATTATTAAAAAGCAAAGAACATCGGAAAAAAAAACCTTAACGAATTACGAAACTAGACTAACCAGAAACACAAGAACCGTAAATGATCGTAGCAAAACAAAGCCAAAATTTCCGCGTTTTTTTCATTCTATGTTTTGTAATGGCATGCTATTTTTTATGTAAAAAGCTGGGGGGTCAAACAGTTTATCTTTTCCTGCAAAACACACTACTCGCCTGAAAATTTACCTGCGTGGCTTTTAGATGCGTCCAGGAAATAACCTTGGTTTAAGCAGGCTCTTCATATAAAATTTAATATACGAGGTTTCATTGTTCTCTTAAACTTAAAGAAAAATAAAGCATACGCGGTCGTCCAGACTATTGCTCGTATATAAAACCTTCAGTACAGCAGTAGACCAATAAACCCTCGCAAGTTAAAATTTGACGAAGTGATTGATTTTAGATCAGCCCGCTTGGAGTAAAATAATGACCATGTACTCTCGTTCCAAAATAAAAAACCCAAGCGAATGTGAACTGACGAAACCTGTAGTGTCCTCTAAAGTCTGATTCAGATGCGTTTGCGCGTTACCGACTACGTTACGACAAGTTGCGTTTCACTGTGGACACGGTGTGACGACCTCGGTGGCAATAGCAATCATACTCTCGTAATCAGTCACACGTGTTCGTGCCGCCATCGGTCACACTAAAATGCAAAGATCGGAACCAACCATAACAGTGGAACACTCAATCATCATCGGGCTTAGCGTGCATGCTGGACTGCTCAGCCGCTCTTAAATTTTTGTCGTGGAAAGTGTAGACTCTTCCCAGATTCCACGCATCCACCACTTATGTTCATTAATTATGTCGAGGTACCTTGTTTTCTATACTTCGTTTCAGCTTAAGTCATGACGCAGCCGATGCTACGAGCTAGTGAGACCAATGAAGCTTCTTCAGAAGCGCATGTCACTAAGACTTCTTCGTGATCGGTTGAGCGAAGATATAACACACACAGAAACATGACGAACACCACGATGGTGCGCTTTCGACGATGTCTGATTGATCCCACCAACTCGTAGCGTCGGCTGCGTTTGCACTTAACATTACACAAGGTGTAGGCCTACAATAGGTACCGAAAACAAAATCGACTCCGGAAGAAATACCAGGTAGGACCACTCGTGATAAGTGAGGGACTGAATACTCTGGCGTGCGCGCAAAGCCCGATCATGCGTCCTTTTTGCAAAATCAATGGCGTTGCCGGCTTTCCCTGCTACGCATACGCTCGGGATATATATATTTTTTTACATTGTTCTTGATTACACGCTGCGAGTGTTTAAGATAAACGGGAACCATGTTTTTCTCCCAGCATAACTAAAAATTATGTATCGCCGAGCGATCGTCTTCCGCCCAATTGTAGCTTTCGCGGTTGGGAACCGATGCCAATGATTCAGAGCATACTATATGTGATTAGGAATTTATACAGGGATCTGCGCAATCTTTAATCATAAAATTGAGCGCATTCGGAGCAGATGAAATTATTCTCCTTGTATTTGCGAGCTTCGTTGGCCATCATTTTGTTTTATTTAAAAAAAAAAATCTCAATATCGAATTTTATTATTGAATTTTTAATGTCTGCGTTTCTATTGCCTGCTGATAAAATTCAATAAAGTGACTCGACCTAGTCAGGCAGAGTGCATGTGCCGTTATCACTTTCTCCTGAGACCTTACTTCCAAATATAGAAATAAAAACAAATGAACGAAAGAGCACTGAAACTTTGGCATCTAGTCTCAACCGCGAACGCGAAATTTGGGCGGGGACAGGGAGTTCGGCGATACGCATAAATGATATTTATGATAAAAATAATAAAAACATATAATACATAGGTGTGATTTTTCCGAAACACCCGTGGTGTGTAAACAACTGACGGAAGAGTAAACTTTAATTTTAAATAAATATTTCTTGGTCAATGAGCCGCCCAACACAGTTATCAAAGCCCTAAATCACAACCGCGAGGCTGTCCGGATTTACTGCGACCAACAGGTAGAGGTACAATCATCACATGCAAGCAGGCCTTAAATGTCCAACTCAATGTATGGATTGCAGTACACTATATGCTCAGCTTGTCATAAGTTAGAGTTCTCTTGTTGCAGAGCCCTGTCGGATGAACACGTTGAGCTCTCTAGGACGCTATGCATTATATGGTAAAATATGTATATTAATATATGCATGACCAATATCAACGGCAGACTAAAATCATACAGCCAGTACAATAAAAAATTTACTAATGTACTAATATACATCGCCGTGTCTCCTCAGATTATGTTATTCGTGCGTAGTCTTCTTTTAGCGTTTCTTTTCCCATTATGGTACTAATCTAGACCTCACGAAAATAAGTTATCCTCTATAACTATACCATTTCGAAAAAGAAGCATATTTTTCCATATAATAATTTTCTGACATTATTCACGTTTATACTCCATTGGGAAGGACGTCATCTACCATATATGTTGCCCTGTATATGATATGCCACTGATTGCAAAAATTATACATGCTGGCTCACTAAACTTAATGGGAGGGCACAACTAACGAAAAATGCATGCAGTATCTTCCAATCCTGCGCCAGTGCCAAACAGCATATATGTATATCCACTCAAGCCGTCTGTTTAGACGTTTAAAAACCCTTATTTTAGCCGAGGGTCGTTTAGTAGTTGCACTTAACACTGCTTTGCCAAAGCGAATGCACTATTACCCAGGAGATCCCACGTGCACGCGGAAACTAAAAAGAAGGATCTAAATAACATTATATTACGCATAAAATCGGTCCTAGCTTCCATTGTTGCTCAGGAATGTCCTGAATTCCACCGAAACTCTTAACAACGCGATGAGTATGCGCTATATTGTTACAGGGAAATAAAAGAGCGGACTCCAATGGAAATAGAAGGGGCCCGAATGAACCAATCTGCGTTTCAGAAAGAACTAGTGTAAGAACAAACATTAATATGTAAATGAATGAATTCAATTATACACATTCTCAAGTTTACTGATTTCAAAAGTCACACATCTTCAAAGTTTGCAAACTCGCATCGCAGCTTATTTTGCTTCAAATCAAAATTAGGACAATACTGCAAAATTTAACGTTCTTATTTGTATAACGAGGCACGACTGTTGAATATTTATTGCTGTTTAACAAAGTGAACGTGATTACAGTTTGCACGTAGAAGAAGGAAGGTAGTGATAGCGCGAGTTCAAAAGCGAAAAAAGTTAGTCTTTGGAAACGTTTTTTCTTCGTTTATTTTAACCCGGTCGTTATATTTATTAAACCTCAAAGTCACCCACAAATGAGGAGAGCTTCAGAGTTCAACAGGAATAAAATATAAAAACCATGAAACTTCTGGAGCTAATCATTCATTTTGATTAATGTGAACAAAAAAGTTTCTTTTTTTTACGAAACATGAATGTAAAGGACTCGGCAACGATCACAGCAATGTACTTGGCCACTTTTTTTCTTTTTTTTTTTTTGTTTTGAAAAAACAATTAAGCTGTCTCAATTAACAAGTTTGACCCCACAGGCTGAACAAAAGCTTATAACAAATCGTTCAGGAGTAATACAATAAATAAAGAGTTATCAGTTTCTCTAGTTTCAGGCATTTTTTAGATACTTCCACCGAAAAGTCTTTGTTCATCGTCAAGTCCTTGGGAGTTAATAGTGACCCCTTAAAGGTCGGTTTGTCCGTACTACCTCATCAAATATATCTTATCGCTCATCACAGTCTTCAAGTCCAATTCGTTTTTAAACAAACAGTGCCACTTTGCGGATCATTTGCTCTTGGAACTCTTCCAGAATGGCGAGCTCAGAGAAGCGACTGTCTTTCGAGAGCCATGTTACCATTGCAATAAATATAGCTTAAGGTAAGAGGAATATAAATAAACTAATCCCCACCAAAGCTGCAATATATGAAGAACGAGGCACCGTGCCTCCAATTGGCAAGTAACGTGAGGCCTCGTGGAAGCATATTGACAAGCTAGTGTAAAACAATAAGGATGCGGATAAAATGAAAGCCATCTTTAAGACAATTTAAAATAGGCCTGTAGAAAATGCATGATATGCAAGATATAAAATCCTATAGACATAAGCAAGACGTTTCGACGGAATTTATACCTGCTTGACCACGGCAAACCTGGAGACTCAAAAACAAAAGACCGAAAATATTTTCTTATTAGTTAGGGGAGGACATTTTTTTCTGGAGACATGTTCCGTAGTTCGTTTTATGCAAAGCAGCAGAGTTAAATTAAGCATTGCGATAAGAAAAGTTTAAT